CACATGATGGCCGACCAAAACCGATGAAGTCTTCAATATAAATGAACTGGTGGACGCATTCACTTACTTCACTTCTTATCATGAATTAACATTTTATATTTGGAAGGAGAGGATCATATCCTAAACATGATTTCATTGTTGCTTAGAAGAATGAGTATCGCCATTGTCTTGGTTAAACTGAACTATATCACCTACTTATTATATATAGATCAACAAGTGAATCTCTTGATAGGAGATCAACTTCTCAAAAGTTAAAAATAAACGCTCTGTTTCTTAAAGCATTTATATGACAGTTAAATAAATGTATTGAAAACAAACAACTCAAACGAACATCATTTGAAGTTTCGATGTCTGTAATGTAAAAGTACAAACCAAATGTTCGTCATCTGTCAAGTTACAAGACATATTTACGTATGTACTGTAAACCAAAGTTATGTTTATTTGCCAGCGTTTCATTTTGTCGATAGACAGGTTTTATGGCAGTATCAGTCGTCGGTAAATATACTTTGTACAGACTGTCTACTTAAATACTACCAGCCCAGTCTGAAACCAGAATGGTACTCACAAGTTCTTCCTTCATAAGCCTTGCTTAAGAGCTAGAAGATTATTGAGGAAAATAGTGTGGACACATTATTAAATAACTTACTTATTCACTCACCCTGTTACTCCTAATAAAGCATAGATTTCCTACCAGCATTCCTAAGCATACTCTGTCCTGAGCTTTCCTTTCTTTCCAGTTCTAACCGATTGCTATTATTTCTTTTTATCTCTGTCTCAAATTCTCATCGTAATTTGCTCTTTGGTCTACATCTTTTCATTCGAACTTGAGGGATTCAAGTTAGAGCTTGCATCGTGACCCAGTTAAGTGATATCGATAATCTGTGTCCGACTCATATTTATCACCTTTTCCTAATTTCTTCCTCAGCTGGAAACTGCCATATTCTCCCCCAAAGTAGGTGGTTCTGAAGTGGCTGGCCGAAGGATCAACAGTATCTTATGTAGACATCTGTAAATAATTACCTGTATCATGTGAATGATAACTTTCTTGGTTTTCCAAGTTTCCTTTTCGTGCAGCAGAACTATCTAACTTCCTGTCGACCACCAAGAGAAAGGGAAAGGGTCAGAGAAAGCGACCTTCCTTTGTGGTGATCTTCACATGGAGTGAGTCTGTGAGCTGTCCCCTAATCGCTTTCTTGTAATATAATCCATTATAAGAATTCCGCACAATCCTAACTACTTTCTCAGACTCGACAGGGATTCCAGCCTGCTGATCTGGAGCTAGGAAGTGTACTGATTCTCTCATTCGCTTTAACAACACTCTGTTAAAGACATTTTCTGGTATCGAGAATGGAGTGATGCTAAATATAAATAATAAATAAGTCAACAGTTATCATAACTTTTTAGTCAAATGTAGGGGTGTAGTGAACGAGAACACAGGTGGGACAACCGAATTGTATTCAACGAAATTACAGAGTTACTCAGTAAAATAGGAAAACCATATCGTATATCGTTAATTTGCAAAATATCAGTCCATCATATCGAACTGGACTGTTCCTGTTGCAAAACATCAATCCATTGTCACTATTCATGCGTTTGATACAAATTCCATTGTTTTCTAACTCTTCCTTTCTTGATCTTCCCCCATCTGCTGCTGCCAGACATTACGTTGACACTCACATCATATACTACTTATAAGTAGCTCGCACCACAGGGGGCTTTGATGCCTATAGCTACATCGATTAGATTCTTCGTATGAACCTTCACACTAGTATATATGCATTTTCTGGCGACAAGCTCTAAAACTCGCTCCCTGCATCCCTCTTTCATCCACTATCGAAATGATTATTTTAGATGTATCGCATATTCATAGTGAGAAAAAGAATGTATATCTGTTTTCACCCTAAGGTCAATTTATTGCGAATAATGATTCGGGAGGTCATTTTTGAAGACTATCAATGAATTTTTATCTTACAGTAATTTAATTTATATAATATGGTGCAACATCTAGTTTTGTACCATATTAACTTGCCTTTAGCAAGACGAATTTCTCAATCTTTTTCATGAGAACTATAACTGAATAGGAATTACAGATTGATAGGAGAAAGAATTACATTACACTTTTCCTGATAAAAGGTATACGGACAAAACATATATAGAGAAATTTCAGCTTAACTAGGTGTTAACTTTTGCATAACTGTTATTGTTGCTTGTTTCAGAGACCAAGAGGCATTATTTGTTTAACGAAAATTGAATTTCAAATGTAAATTTTGAATATTGTACTAATATTTAGCAGTTGGTATAACCTCTTCCATATTGTATACATCTGATCTTATATATAAAAATAGAAATTCAGGTCATTTGGTAATGTTATTAGTGATATATACATTTCTTCTAAAATGAATGAGATATTATTTTTCACCATGATTGACCGCCAGGGACGAAACTTTTGCCAAATTCCTATTTGTTCTCACAGAAATTCATTTTTTTGATAAAAAATATGTTGATGGATTGATTAATTACTTGTTTGCAAACAACCCAGTTAAGTTGGAATGAGTTTGTTTCTGTTGAATCCCTGTTTATATAAAATGTAATGTCCAATAAAAATCAACCGTTCATTATGCCACTTAAAACTAATTTTGATGAATGAATGTTCTCCTAATGGTACCGAGAAACGAAATAAATAATACTGATTTGTGATAAGTATGTCAACAAATAGGCTATACCTAGGGATGGGAAATATGCTCTGTTCAAACATTTATTAGTTCTTTAATCAGTGATAATAAAAATATTTCGTACTTAAAAATGTAAGTTTTCAAAGAAAATATGTAAACTGGAAGTTGGATTCTTTTTTTTAGCTGTAAATAATTTCAACTCAGAATAAAACTGATTTACATGAAATCATTGCGGAACAAAAAAAGGATTTAATATTTAAGAAAAGAGGAAGCTAAGTTTTTGGGAGAATACAAATAAGTTGTAAGGGAAACAAAATTTTTAATAAGATACATTTTGAGACTTTGGATAAGATGTGAGTTTTGTCACGTAATTGAAAATAATTTCTATAGGATTTACAAATTAAATTTAACTGTTGTATATAACAAGAATTTGTTTAGAGAGTGTTTTATTGTAGAAACACTTTAAATAGATAACTGAGTAGTTAAAAAAATTAATCCACCAGATATGAAAAGGTTTGTAAAAACGGCG